GGGGGGGGGGGGGGGGGAAGGAAGGTGATTGGTGGAAGACCTGTCGGTGACTTTGTGAGCTGGACAATGTCTACCAAGGTAGAACAAAGACGGGAAGGAGGGGATGCTGGTGGGGGCTTGGCGTCTGTGAGCCAGTCGGTGGACGAGGTGGCAGGTGCTGCTGAGGAGGGGAAGGAGAGGGAGGGAGACGGGGAGGGGGGGGAGAGAGTCACAGAGGTCGTGTATCTGAATGAGAGGTAAGGACGATGCTTGGGCTTGGCTAGCGTGGTGATGGTGGTGATGGTGGTGGTGGTGGTGGTGGGACTCATGGTGATCTGCGTGGGCGGTGCTGGTGATCTGTGCCGGCGGTGCTGGTGATGTGGTCGTGGGGCATGGCTGCGGAACTGGGCGTGGGCATGGGACATGGGACATGGGCATGGGGCGTGGGCATGGGCATGGGCTGCAGACGATTGACGATGTTCTCGTCGTTCTCGTCCAAGTTCCTCTATCCGGCAGATAGGCCCATGTGGTCGACGGTCGACGGCACACCGCGCGACGATCCAGAGCTCATTCCGCTGACAGACTCGTCATGGACGTGGGACGATGAGTGGCACGTGCACATTGCAGAGGGCGTGACTGATGACGAGGGCTGGGAGTATGCGTTCAACTTTATGCTCTCGACATGGATGCCCGAGTGCAAGCGCAAGGCGCATGTGAGGCGGCAAAAGTGGCTCCGCACACGGGTCAAGCTGAGCGCGTCGCAGCTGGAGGAGAGAAAAGCGATGCGGGCTTCGGCCATGAAGCGCCGCAGCCATCAGATTTCCGGTGTGGCGGATGCGGCCAAGCTGCAGCTCGGCACGGGTGTGCTGGCGGCGGCGGCCAAGGCATCGGCGTCGTCGCGAACCGCCGCGCCGCTCACGCGCGGGGCGGGGTACTCGGTCGAAGACGACCTTAACGCGTTGTCACAGATGGTAGGCAAGGCTGAAGTAGCCAAGGCTGAGCTCGCCGACCTTGTCGCGGCGCAGCAGGAGCAAATCGCCGCTCTCGAGCGCAGGCTCGACGAGGAGGCCGCCGTCGCTGAGGCGCTGCAGCTCGAGGTCAAGAAGCGCGACAAGGTGATCATGCAGCAGACCGGCGCGCTGCTCAAGCTCAAGAAAAAGGTCAAGAAGCTCGAGCACGAGGCCAAGATTGCCACCAAGCAGAACGAGGAGATGCTGACTGTCATGGCTTCCGGGCGCGGCACGTCGCCGGGCGCCCCGTCGGTCACCTCGGTCACCGCCGCTGTCCCGCGCGCCGTTAACGTTGTTGTGGACGGCAAGAAGCACGTCGAGTACGTCATCGAGCTCTCCACTGGCCGCACCTTTCAGCGGCGCTACTCGCAGTTTCTCGCCCTCCACGAGTCGCTCCGCCGTACCACCATCGGCTCCATTCTTCCGCCCTTTCCGCCCAAGGTTGTCTTTGGCACCGTCAATGTTGAGCAGCGGCGCATCGACCTCGACGCCTATATCCGGGCTGTCTCAAGCCACGGCCACCCCGAGGCCGATGCCTGTCTCGCGTTTTTCCTCAACATTCCGGTCTTGTGAGTGTGCAAGTCGTGACCGGGCGACTGCGACCGGCGACCGGGCGACCGGCGACCGGCACACACACCTCACACTTTACGCCACCCACCTACACACATAGAGAGAGAGAGAGATACCCGTATCCAGCCATACACACACACACACACAATTACATGACGAGCCAGAGTCTTGCGGATCAGCTGGCGTCACTCCAGGAGACTGCCGAGAACAACGGCGTTACTGTCGATGCCGAGGCGGTGACGGCGACGGCCGCCGAGCTGCGGTCTGCTGTTGATGCGGTGGTGGCGGCGCAGCGCGGCGATGGCGGCGCAGATGCAGAGGCAATGGCAGGGGCAGGGACAGAAGCAGATTCTGGTGATGGTGTTCCGCTCATTGTGGGACGCGCGCTGCGGTTCCCGCTCAAGTTTGAGTCTGCAGCGAGCCACGCCAACTTTGTGGCGCTCGCCGCGGCGCTGACCTTCAAGCCGGAGCACGTGGCTGACGTGGAGGCTGCTTCTGGACGTGATGCCGAGGACGTTGCAGCTTTTGGGCTCATGGGCTTGTACCTTACTCGGCCTGAGCTCGACGCCGGCTTTCTGGCGCAGCTCTCGCGGCTCGATCTCTCGCAAGCGTACGGCATTCCCGAGTTTGCCGAGACCGCCGTGAGCCCGGGTGTGTACGAGCAGGTCGACGCTCCAACCAAGTTTGCGCTCTGTGCCATGCAGAATCTCTGCCGCGAGATTGGTTCTGCTTGCGAGCGCGCTGGTGTGGCCTCGCTCGGCGAGCTGGTCATCGGCCACGTTGCGGCAGATACCGCCGCAGCTGCGGTCGACGGCCTCGCGGCCGCCCTGCCCAGTCGGCTTGTCCGAGATGACGTGGTAGGAGGGTACGCCAACGTTGCGCTCGCGCGGCGGATCATCTTTGCGCTCGCGGCGTTTGGTCACGCGCTGGCCATTGCGCCGGGCCACGCCGCGCCGGCCTTTGCCGAGCTCGGCGCTGCTTTTGACGGCTACCCTGACGGTGCCGAGCTCGCCGACGCGCTCGGCTTTCCCGACATGCCACAGCTGGACGGATACATTGATGCGCGGCGTCTTGCGACGCTCCGCAAGCGCGGCATCGTCACTGGAGCCGGCGATGATGAGGCCGCGCTCGCGGCAGGCCTCCTGGGCATGCACGCGCTGCGCAAAGCGCTCGGCGTTGAGCCGTGGATATTTGAGCATGTTGTCGACCGCATTCTGTGAGCAGCTAGCGTTTACTCGCTCTTGCTCAGAGCGTCGATGAGCTCGCGGGCCGAAGTCACCCACCAGTCGCAGCCAGACTTGACCGGCTCGCGGACGACGTTGGCGCCAAAGCCAACCATGACATCGGCCTCGCACGCGGCCTCGAGATCAGTCACCCCGTCGCCGACCATGGCGACCGAACCGTGGATGGAGCGAAGGGCGTGGAGGACGTCCGCCTTGCCGTTGGTCCGAGCCGTCGGCGCGCGACGGTCAAAGTCGAGGAAGCCGCCGAGGTCGTCAAAGTACAGATCGATAGCAAAGACATCGTCGACGTTGAGCGCGTCGGCGACCGGGCGGACGAGCGGGAGCAGACCGCCCGAGACAAAGACCACCGCTGTGCCGCGAGCCTGGAGCGCAGCAATAAGCTCGGGCATCTCGGGAGTGATTGGAATGGGCGATGTCTTAACCAGGTTGTCGATGGCGCCCTTGGTCGGCTTGAGGATGTCCAGTCGCGCCTTGATGGCCTCTTGGAAAGTGACGTCGCCGCCCATGGCCTTGTTCGTCCAAGCGGCCACCTCATCGCCCTTGCCGAGCGCCGCAGCCAGCACATCGATACCCTCCTCGGTGGAGACTGTCGAGTCGACGTCAAAGGCCACGCACTTGACCGATGCAAACACGTTTGCGGCAGCGTCGGCATCGGCCGGCCGCGCTACTGCGCTGGTGGCCTCGGTCGCCCGCGACTCGCCCACTCGAATGGTCGCCATGCTTGCTGTGAGCATCCCAGGCGTGGATGTGAGCGCCATACGTGCAGCACGGAGCATAGAAGGTAGAGAGTGGCGTAAGAGAGGGGTGGTAGAGCTAGGTGGGGGTGGGGAGTGAGGGGTGGTGGAGCAAAGGGGGTTTAACCCTTTACGGTACAGTCATTCGGACGCAGCGGTTTAAGCGCCGAGGGAGCAGTCGTGTCGACCTGGCCGCACACCGTTCGGTGGGTGGGGCTTGGGCTGGGCTAGATCAGGCAATGACGCCGCCGTTGGGGTCGTCCTTGGCGCGGATCAATCGGATGGGGAAGTTCTCGGTGACGAGGTAGCCGCCCTCGAGGAGGACCACGAGATTGATTTCAAACTCGATCTGTGCAAGGAGGGTGAGGTGTGAGTCGGCAGAGAGGGAACGAGGAGAGGGCTATGGGCAGTTGCTCTTGCTCGTCAGACAACGTACCTTGAAGTTGCGCGACGCCACAGTCGGGCAGCTAAACAGCCGCGGGAAGATCTGTTACCATCGTAAGGCATTGTGAGTTGCTTGATGATCGTGACACACACACACACACACACACATACACTCACACACACACGCGCGCGCGCGCTCACCACGTACCATAACCAGCGGGATCGCAAGGCCGCGGCAGACATTGCCGTCGCCGATCTGAATGTTTTGGACCTCTGCTCGCACAACGCCACGCAACCATCGCCGACCGTCATCATCGCCCGTCCATGGTGAGTTCTACTGTACATGCGGGCTCCCAGCTTCCTCGCTCCCACACCGACGCCACCTCCCCCTCATTCCCCGTCCCCCCAAGTCGCGGCACCTACCGGTGGCCTCCTTGGCAAACCCATCGGCACAGCCGCAAGTCTCGACGCGGACCAGCTGCAGCTCGACGCTCTGGATGGGCACCGAGCACTTTTCGACAACAATGTCGCCGGTGAGCGGCCGGGTGAGCGACATGACCGACGAGTCAATGCTGCCGGTGATGCAAAACTCAGGAACCGAGCCGCGGTCGCGCTTCTTGACATTCTCCAGCGTGTCGGGTGTGATCTTGAACGGAATCGGCGACGGATCCGGCATCGGCACACCCTCGCCCTGCACTAGCCACTCGACCTTGTGGCTGAGGTTCCGCGAGAGCGCCTTGCGCGCGAGCACGCACTCTGTGCATCTCTACGTGTGAGTTCCCCTCTCACTCTCTCACTCACTCTATCGATACGACCACACATCTCGCGCCCCTGTCTCGCTCCAATCTTCCCTATAACATACCGCAAGAGTACGAGATGTTGATGAACACGCCGTGGTACGTCTCGTACAGCTGGGCGCCCTCTGCCGGCGTGAGCTCAAAGGCAAACGGCAGCTCCGTCCGGCCCTTGGGCAGCTTGCCGGCCTTGGCGACCTCGATCTCCACGTTGAGCAGGGTTTGCGGCTGGCTCGTCACCCCCACCGTCATCACTGTGAGTCCCTCCCCGCTCTTGCCAACCATACCAACCACACCAACAGCTACGGTCACTACGTACCTTGAGCGAGTTGTAGAAGCTCTCGAAGAGGCCAACTGACTTGGCCGACAGCTGCATGGTGACCATACCTGTGCAGGTAAGGTTGATGCCCTGATGGGAGACAGGAGAGCCCGACTCGACCACCACCACGCCCTCCACCATGTCCTACACAACCACACCCGCATATAAGCATGTGTTCATGACAACAAGCATCCACCCACACCACACGTCGTTGCCTGTCGATGTGAGTTGTACGGTCTCCACACCCGTGCACACCCAGACCACCACCTACAGCCAGCGCTGCTCAGGATGTGCATGTGCATGCGCATGCGCACAGCATGGCTACGGGGAGTTAGCTAAGCATTCGCTGCTATACCATGTCGTCGCAGCTATATGCTATCATGCTGCTGCTGTATAGTGGCATGGTCGTCCTTGCTGGTGTTGTGGGTGGCCGCCAAGACAATGGCCAAGACTACATGGCCTCGACTGTCCCCTGGCAACGGCATGCTCTCCCAGCTCCCGTTACGTACACCAGGACGGTAAATGCGGTCTACCCGCTTGAGTACAACGGTGAGTGACGACATGTTGGGTCTGTCTGCGTCAGGTGGGAGAAGGAAGGGGCGGTGGGTGGTGGCGGAGGGACCGGCGCGTGACCGACCGGGGGCGGGCGGCCAGGTCGGGAGGTCGGCTGGTCGACACGTCGGCAGATGCGACAGGCCGATGGCAGACACGCAGGTCAAGAACTGGCTGAGACCAAGTGATTCGAGTATGGGTGGGAGTTTGGAAGTGTTGATGGAGCAGAAGAACAGTTGATGAGCCGTTATGGGCTGGGTAGGAGGTGCTGGGAAGGCCGTCCAGAGTTGCATGCGTTGTTGTTTGAGCTCTGGAAAGGCTAGATCTTTGTAGGGAGGGAGTGATGTCGAGTGCGATGGTGGCTTGGAGTGTGATAGCCAAGATAGATGTGCATTATCTATCGATCGAACATGGTTTGCATGTGTGTGGGTGCGAGGAGAGTGGCCCCGCCAGGACATGCACTCGAACAGCTCGTTGTGCATTGATCGCTGATTCTCTCCGGCCGGACTTTGACGACATGGATGTCTTTCTCACGGGATAATGAGCACGCCATATCGGACCACATCTTCTTGTTGCGCGTAAACGACACACCGACGCCATGCCCATGCAGTACCACAGCCAGATCAGACTCTACATGAGGGCGTGTTCTCTGCTCACTCGCGGCTAATCCATGACACGTGAGTTCGTTGTGATTGGCATTATCCACCTCTCTTGAATCTGACCACGATGTCATCGTCGCACATCGCCTCGGCGTGGAAGTTCTACCGTTCACTCGGCTCGCCCAAGTACATTGTAGCACCTATGGTATGCATGGAGGTGATGGTGTGAGTGTTGCAGGCGGGGCGGCTTGGCTGCATGAGTGTGCGGTGGGTGGTGAGCGGAAGGGCGATGCCATCCAACCGGCGGCGAGCGCATGGACTCGTATGATCCCCCTCGGGCGTAGGGAGTGAAATAAGAGGCTCGCGGTTGCTGTAGCCGGTGTACATGTCAGAGGGAGGAGCACATGTGTTGTGTGCGAGTATGGGTGACGGGGCGTGGTGTATAAAGGTAGGGAGCGCCGAGGCAGGGCGGCGTCGTTGGCTTGCGAGGCCGAGGGAGCGGGACTCATGGATGTGATGGCGATGGGGGCGATGGCGACGGGGGCGATGGCGACGGGCGATGGCGATGGCGGCAATGGCGATGGCAACTTGGACGATGGGGCTGAGAGCAGGTCAATGCTTCCGAGCTGGCGTTTCGCCTCCTCACGCGGCGGTATGGAGCAGAGCTGTGTGTAACGCCGATGCTCAACTCGGCGGTGTGGGTGCGGTCGGAAGAGTACCGCGAGAAGAACTTGCGGGTGGCGCCGGGTGACGAGCCGCTACTGGCACAGTTTTGCGGCAACGACCCCAAGATCCTGCTTGAGGCCGCACTGGATGTACAGGACCGCGTGGCCGGGGTCGACATCAACCTCGGCTGCCCGCAGAACATCGCGCGGCGCGGCCACTACGGCGCGTTCCTGCTGGAGGAGACGGAGCTGCTTGTAGAGATGGTGGACACGCTTGCGCGCGGACTGACCGTGCCTGTCACATGCAAGATCCGTGTTCTCGAGTCGGGGGTGGACGATACGATTGCGCTCTGCCTTGCGCTGCAGGACGCGGGGTGCTCGATCCTGACGGTCCACGGACGGACGCGGCGGATGAAGAAGGACCTGATCGGGCCGTGCGACTGGGGCGCTATCAAGGCGATCAAGGAGGCGGTCGACATTCCCGTGTTTGCCAACGGCGGTATCGAGTGCTTTGAAGACATTGACGAGTGCATGCGTGCGACGTGCGTCGACGGCGTCATGCTCTCCGAGGCCATTCTTGAGCGGCCAGACATCTTTGCCAACGTGCCGTTCTCGATTGCCAACCAGCTCAAGATCTCGCGCGAGTACCTGGCACTAGCGCGCGACTACCCGCCCTATGTCAACAAGGTCACCCGTGGCCACATCTTCAAGTTTCTCCACACCGCCATGACCTCCTGGCCCGAGCTCCGTCCGATGCTCGGCAAGTCACGGACCGTCGACGAGATGGCTGCTGTTGTCGAGCGGGTGAGCGATCTCGTCCAGCACGAGCTCACCTGCCCGCTGCCTGCCACAGAGTGCCCCGTTACCCACTCGGACGGGCGGACTTGGTACCGCCGGCACGCGCACCGCTGGAACGCCGGCATGAAGGCTACGCTCGAGCCGGTGGACTACTCGGCTGAGCCGCAGCCCATCGCCATGTCGGATCGTGCGGTAGCCAAGGCGGCGGCCAAGGCTGTGGCCAAGGCCACCGCCAACATCAATGCCAAGGCCGCGAGCGAGGCTGCGAGCGCTGCTGCGAGCACCGCGTCCGAGACCGAGCAGGCTGCATCCGGCGGTCAGACAGACGAAGGCAAGGCACAGGAGGCCACCGCCTCGTAGACTGGACAGCTGGGTGCATCAAGGCCTCAGGCTTTGGCCTTGTGGCGCTTGACCTCGCGCTGGACTGCATCTGACGGGCTGCGCTTGCGCGGAATGACGCTCGGCGCGACGCGAGCGCGGGGAACGACCATTGGTGACGTCGCTGGCGGGAGGCGGCTGGGCTTGTCAACGTGGCCAGACTCTGTCCCGTCATCTGGTGGACACGAGGGAATGGCGTGTATGAGCTCGTGCCAAGTCCGGTGGTGGACCGGCCGCTGATGCGGATCAGCGCCCGCCGGCAGCGGTGGGACGACGACAATGTCTGCGGCAGCCTCACTGTCGACACGCACAGCGCGGCCGAGCTTAAAGGCGAGTTTGGTAAAGTTGGCGAGCTTGGTCTTGGAGATCGAGGCCACAAAGGCGTCGGCGAGGTAGAGGCGTCGGCCGCGAAACGGGTTGTCCTCGACGGGAAATCGGGCGCCGTAGCCGGCCTCGTCGACAAAGCCCGACTCGGCCGCCGACGCCGTCAGCCACTCGGGCCGCATGATCCAGCGGCCTGTGAGGCCCGCAGCAAGAAGCTTGAGCGTTCGTGCACCGGGCAGCGCAACCACGTGTGTGATAGCGGCGTCAAACTCCTGCGGGTTGGCCTTGACTCGGCCTCCGAGCTTCAGCACCACATCGCGAAGAGTGGCAAGGCGGTCCGCGTCATCACCAAAGCCCGAGAATGTGACGAGCGGCGGAGCGAGAGGCGATTGTGGCCTAGCGTGTCGAGCTTGGATATCGAGGCTGGGAGAGAGTGTGGCGTGCGGCGGCGGGGCGGTCGGCGACTCGCTGGTGGGCACAGGACGGGCACGCTCGGCTTGAAGCGCAGCGACGGCGGCGGTGAGGGCGGCGACGTGTGACTCGAGGAGAGCAACGCGGGCTGCGAGTCCGGGCTCGGGGTCCATGACGGCGGCGGACGAGTGGGCTCTCGGCGACTGGAGGCAGGCGGTGTCCACAGGGGGCGGGGGGGGGGGGGGGGGAGGACAGTGGCAAGGGCGGGAAAAAAAAAAAAA